TGAGCACAGATGAGAAGTATTCATTAAAGACTTCACCCAAATCCACTTGACCCTTCAGTGTCTAGTAGCTCCCACTCTTTCCCTTGTAATCCTCTTACTCTTAATATACTTACAGAAAACCTTGAGGCTTTCCTTGATCCCATCTGCCAAAGATTTATTTGCCCTCCTAATTTCCTTTATAAGCAACCCGCTACACTTTCTACATTTCTGAAGGGCCTCCCTTGTTTTTAATGTGCTGTACCTGACCACATACTTTGCTCTTTTCCTTTACCAGTCTCTTGATATCCCTTGACATCCAGGGTACCCTGGACTTGCTTCCATTGCCATTCACTCTTGCAAAGGCAAGCTGACCCTGAATATTCACTATACTACTTCCATTTTCTAAATGTAGACTTACCTTTCCATGTTTGCCAGATCCTGACTAATGACATTGAAATCAGCCTTCCCCAATTTAGATATTTAACTTCTGCACTATTCTTGTCCCTTTCCATAATGACTTTGATACTTACAGGGTTTTGGTCAATATCCCAAAAATGCTCACCCACTGAGACTACAAGCGCTTGACTGGCTTTATTCCCTAGGATTAGATCTCACACTGCGCCATCTCTAATAGGACTAACTACGTATTGGAACAAAAGCTCTCCTGGATGCGCTTTAAAAATTCCTCCCGTATAATCCTTTCACTCTAAGATGATCCCACTTAATGTTAGCAAAGTTGAAGTCCCCTGCAACTATAACTGTTTCTCTCTCACCTTTCTGTGATTTGCTTATATATCTGCTCCTCTATCTCACTCTGACTGTTTAGAAGCCTCTAGTAAAATCCCAGCAAGGTAATCACACCTTGTTGTCCATTTCTAAGCTTTAACCAGATGGCCTCATTTGAAGACAGTTTCAGGATGTCCTCCTTCATTACCGCATTGATGGTTTCCTTTATCAGTAATGTAATGCTCCCACCTGTCTTACACCCCCCACCCCCAAACACACCTGAAAATTCTACATCCTGGAAATTTGAACTGCCAGTCCTGTCCTTCCTTCAACTGTGTCTCAGTGATTGCAACAATATCATCTCACGTTCTGATCAATGCTCTAAGCTCATCCACTTATCAGTCAAGTTCCTTGCATTAATAAAGATACAATTTAGCTTTCTAAACCACTCATGTGTCTTGAATGTTGCATTCTGAGGAAGCGTCACCAGACCTGAAATGTTAACTCTGTTTTTTCCCTCATAGATGCTGCCAGACCTGCTGAGCTTTTCCAGCAACTTTGTTTTTGTTCCTGATTTACAGCATCCACAGTTCTTTCATTTTTTTTCACTCATGTGTCTTATCTTGCTCATGTTTTCTGTGCCTCCTACACTATCCCAGCAGTCTTTCCTTATCTGACTGGACCTGGCTCCTGAGTTTACATTTAATATGTATCCCACCCCCACTCCCCCCACCCCCCGCCAAATTAGTATAAAATGATCATAAAGGAGGAGATAACTGAACACGTGGGAAAACAAAGCTCAATTCGCCAGTGTCAGCATCGTTTCATGAAGGGCAAGTCATGCTTGACAAACTTGCTGGAGTTCTTTGAGGATGTAACCAACAAGGTGGATAATGGGGGTCTGTTGGATGTGGAATATCTTGACTTCCAGAAGGCATTTGGCAAGGTGCCACATATAAGATTCATCCAGAAGGCTAGATTGCGGGGGATTAAGGGTAGTATATTGGCTTGGATAGAGGATTGGCTGACTGACGGAAAGCAGAGTGTTGGGACAAATGTTGCCTTCTCTGGATGGTGAACTGTAGTGGGATGCCATAGGGTTCAGTTCTCACACGTCAACTATTTACAATCTATATAAATGATCTGCAAACAGGGACAGATTGTAACATAGCAAAATTAGCAGACCATGCTAAAATGGGTGGGAAAGCAGACTGTGAAGAAGAGATAAAAAGTTTACAGACGGATATTGATAGGCGAGAGGAATGAGCTAGAATCTGGCAGATGGAGTTTAATAAGTGCAAGATTGTCCGTTTTGGCTGGAAAAATATAAGGGCAAATTATTATTTTGAAGGGAATTAGATTCAAAGTGCATCAGTGCAGAGGAATCTGGTTGTTTTTGTGCAGAATATCTTCAACAAACCCAGCAAAAACAGTAATTCCCAGCAATTATCATACAACCTCCAGAGGGAGAAACAGCAGGACGGGATCCACTGAGGGGATGGAAATGAATGATGAGACTCAGGATTTATACACCTTTCTGTCATTGTTTTCAACCCTCTGAAAGACTGAGAAGGTGATGGCCCACCCTACTATCTCTGAATGCTTTATCTCCTAGAGGAAGACTTGCACTCACAAGGATAGGGTAGCAATCTCATCCTGGTGGCTATCAAAGTCATAGCAACCCTGAACTTTTATGCCAGTGGCTTGTTTCTGGGAATAGCTAGGAACCTTTGTGGCATCTGTAAATCCTCAATCCATAAGTACATCCAGGATGTTACTGATGCTATATTCTCATGTATTCATATACTTCCCCCTTGATGACAGTCAAGCAGCTAGGCCATTGGGATCATTGCTGGCTTCTTCCGAGTGCAGGGTGTTATAAATTTCATTTATGTTATTGTGAGAGCATCCCATCACCACTCTATGATGATTGTGAAAATAGAAGGCTTAGACTTCTCTAATTTTCAAATAATTTGTGATCATCCGTGCCAGGCTTTGGGGGTCCAAGTGATTATATATTGGGAGTTGCCATGTCTCTTGCATATTGGAGAGCTCACGGTTTCCAGCTTCCTTCTATTTTCCATACGGAGATGGCTGCTGAGAGACAAGGATATCAGATCCAGACATGGCTCATGACACGTTTGCAAAATTCTCAGACTGATACAGAATGAAGTATCAATACCGGGAGCAACACTTCCACCAGGGTCACAGTGGAACACATCTCTGGCCTCCTGAAGGTGAGGATCTGAGCCACTCTATGGGAGTTTGCAGTAACGCCCATACAAAGTGCTCCTCTGACATGCTGTGTCCTGAAACTGGAGCCAATGAAGAGGAGATATCCTGGGTGCAGACACAATGAGGGATTGACGGCAATCTTTTGAGGATAAAGATGAGGCAGTCAATTGTTAACAGAGAGGGCCAAAGAGGACAGAAACAGCCTTATGAAAACCTGATTCCTGAACTGGGCTTGAATTCATTTTTTTGTGACTTTGTTTTGTTTAAGCAATTCCGTCTTTGTATAAAGTACAAGGGGACGTTACGTTTGTGTGATCCTTCATCTTTTGTGTTGCTGAATAAATGTCTTGCTATCATTGTTAATATGTGTGAGATATATTTACATGATCCCATTTTAAGCTATGTACACTTTTCATTTCATTGCCTAAATGTCAGCCAAGAAACCATATTGTCTTATCTTTACATAAGGAGGATTACAGATATTGATCCAAACACAGATTTTACAAGTTAAAAAAACAGTCTCTTTGGGGCTGCAAGAAATTCTTCATGCACACAGTAATCAATGAATGCATGAATCAGATAAGACGGCAGTTACAAAATTCCTGGAACTACTTTAGACACAGTTGCACACAATAGCCAGGGAGGTGTGGGAGGATGAAGTGTCAGCTGAATGGTAATTCAGGTGTTGGTTAGCTCAGTTGCAGGATGGTTTCTTTGTAATACTGAGTCATGCTAACACTGTGGGTTCAGCTCCCATACTGACTGAGGTCACCATTCAGACCCTGCCTTCTCAACTTCACCCCTTGTCTGAAGCATGATGCCCCTCAGATTCAACTCACCACTGGTCATCTCTCTCTCTCTAATGAGGGTGCAGCCTATCGTCCTATAGTGTCTTTCACTTCACTTTTTCCTTCACTACAATCCTCTGGAACTGGGGCTGCTTCAAGGTAAACCTGTCTTTACGGTAGACTTCAAGTAGATTTATGTCCCTCACTTATAGATTTCCCGAGCTCCCACTACACAGAGCCATTCAACTAGTCTAGAGCTTCTCTCAGCCCCCGACTGTGCAGAACCAGTGTAATTCAGTTGTGTAACTATGAATTGTGCATCGCCTTCTTCTGAGTGCTTCACAGCTTCGAAGATTTCTCTGAGAGCCCCTACACAAAGTCATCACTGTTGTAAGACATTTTACGAGCCTCAGTAATACAGAACCTGCGTAGTTCAACTGCCTTTAGCAGTGCAGCTAATGGCATCCCTTCATAATGTTATAACGCAGGGAAAACAAGCCAAACCAAGTCAGCCTCCCTATCACTAGTTTCACAACACAGAGAAATTAAAATATTCAATGACCCTCAAAATTTCTCAATTATTCCTAGCCAGACTTTACGAATAACATATCTGTTTACAAATAATATACCTTGGGCACCTAATTTGTAACATAAACAAAAGTTTCCAATTTATTATTAATAATGTAACTGTAGCAGATCACAAGGAAAAAAAAACTGCAAGGAAACTGCTTAAGACTTGTTCCTGGATGCCAAATTTTGATCTTTTCTAAAATGGTGAGCAGTATAGTCCCATCTCCTAAATCACCTTCGGATTTCTATCCACCATTTTAGAAACCCAGAAGACTGTAAAGAACCTGAGAAACCAGTCCTGTCTAACCCAATAGCAACAATTATATTTTCAAATATCTTCCAGTTATATTACCTGACCAGAAAAAAGTGCATTTGGAAGTTTTACTCTCTAACATTGAGTTAGACAAGTATTCATGATGTTTGAGGTAACAGCAATTTTTTTATAAAATCTGCTTCTCCCCGCACAAAAATTGCGATGACTCTCATGGTATCGAATTGCAGAACTGGTCGTGTTGAACAAATGAAAATATCAGAAACGCAATTCTGAAGGTTTGAGTTTTACTACATCTCTCCCAAAAAGTCAAATGCCAGTGTTTTGTATGCCTGTTTCCAAATGAATTGAATTAACAGATTAAGGATAAAAGAAAAATATAAATCAAACAGAATAGTTGTAGCAAAGAACGAAAGGGGAAAAAGACATACCTGTGTCTCTGACTAGACTCCACTTGCGGTTAAAAAGAAAATTAAAAATAAGTTATTTTCGTTCAGCAATACAAAAAAAAATCAACAAAGCAGAATAAAGTTAAAACGTAACATGATTTGAATTTTTGGTAAAACCCAACCACTGCCGACCTTCCTACTTAAGCAGACAGTACACAAGGTATCTACTTCCTGAAAACTGTTGCCATCAGGTGCGGTGTTTTTCAAGTTCCACCTTCCTGTTATTGAGACACTTTTCATGCCACACTGGGACAAGCATTTCTCTTTTGTAAATTCTCAACTGTTGTACAATGGCTTAGACATCAATCTGACATTGGGCAGAACCGACAGAGTCGGCGCAAAGTGCCAGATTTGAAGCAGTGACAGGGTGGAATAAGTCAAGGTAAACGAGCGGGAGGCTGGAAGAACAAAGCAAGCCTGGCAGTATCTGGGGGAAAGGAGACTTCAACATTTCCGGTATTACCCTTCTTCAGTCCCGTTTGTTTACCTTGGATCCCAGCATCGGAAGCTTTTTTTTGTCAACATTTATTTTAACATTCGCACCCTTTCATTATTTATTTGCCGGCTTCTGATTCTGCCAAGTGTGTACATTGCCAGGCGTCACTCAATACCCACACGTTATAACAGCTCGGTGAATAATTAAAGACACAGTTCATTGGCGATATTTGGAAGGAAGAAGATCGGGAATGGCTATAAGCAGTGAAAACGGATAGCCCAGCTTCACGGACCCTTCCCTGGGTGCCCTCGGGTGTACTAAGTGTTAAGCGGGAGGTCTTTCGTTTTCGGGAGCAATAGAAAGACAAACCCTGCTGTTGTGAGAACGAACGTGTGGCTAGATAATGTATTATATACTGAATTGTGCTGTCAGGTATTGTACAATCTCACTGGTAGTCATTGACATCAGCTGGTCTAACTCCCATTCATCCGAATAGTAGTCTACAGTGACAGGATAATTATTTGCTGTGGGAGTGAAGAAGTCTACTCCAAACCTGATCCTTGGTGTCTCTGCGATATCCTTTGTCATAAGTAGCTTGCTATTAAATAGAAGTACTGGACTGGCTGATGTGGTCCTTAATCTCATGTTTGGCCAATAAAGCACTTCTCTTGCCTTCCTTTGACATTATCATGCTCAAAATCTGACCTCACTTCCCTCACATTCTCACCTCCTGCTGCCTCCTTTCACTATTTCCAGTCACCCCAATCCTCTGTAATCTGTTGTCACCTCATTCAATTCTCTTGATTCTCATCACACATCCTTAGATGGCACTATGAACATGATGGTCAAATGTACCCCAGTCCCACTTGTGGTACATTTGAATTATTTTCACCCTCAGAATAGGCACTGCACCATTGAATAAAACTGTGGCATGGAATTAGCAGAGCACATAAAATAAAGATGCAGCGGATTCAGGAAAGAATTGGCACATAATTATCGATGAAGATGACATCATTTTGCAAGTATATCACGGTATTTTAAGGGTATAGAGTTCGAACTAAATCAAACAATTTGAGTTTCACAATTCAGAACACCTATGAGATTAAGTAGAACCCTAAAAATCCAAAAATGGCTTACCTTGTGTACGTTTCTTTGTCTGAAACTCTGAAAACCTCTGTACCTATTCTCCATTCATGAGTTAATAATTCCACCCTCAAGAACTATAGAAATGAATTAGTTATAAATAGACATTCAAGGAGTTTCTAACTTTGATATTTGTTTAAAAATGTTTTTCTTTCTTTAACATTAAAAAGAATTAAAAGTGTAGTTAAAAAAGTACTCATTCATTGTGCAATTAAATTTCCCAGAAAACAATTGCCGATTCATAGAGAAGCAATTTAGAAAGAAGATCATATACAAGAGGAAGCATTTACTGGTATGAGTTTTCCATTTTTAACATGTACTTCACTGTTAAAAGAAGAGTATTGTCAAGTGATGATTTTCCTTTGTCTATCTAATTAAAAACTCCATGTCTTATGGGTGTATAAACAGAAAGTGCTGGAGAAACTCAGCAGGTCTGACAGCATTTGTGAAGAAAGAGGCAGAGTTAATGTTTCAGGTCTAATGATCCTTCGTCAGACTACAGCCTTTGCAGGCTTTGTTGATTCTTAACCAGGGTGCACTCACAGTCATAAGGACAGTTGATGATATTGAAAGGCCAATATGAGGGATTGATTGGTTGATTGATTTTTTTGATTGATTGATTTTTATTGTCACATGTACCAAAATACAGTGAAAAGATTTGTTTATGAGTGGCACAGGCAGACCACAGCAAGCAAAGGATGTACAGATAAAAAAGATTGAGAGACATACAGGTTACATTATTTGAGGTTAGAGTCCATTCAGCAGTCTGAAAACAGCTGGAGAAAAGCCATTTCCTGAACCTGCTTATGCGTGTCTTCAGGCTTCTGTATCTTCTGCCTAATGGAAGAGGTTGTAGGTGGTCATTACCAGAGTGTGATGGGTCTTTGATGATGTTGGCCGCCTTTCTGCAGCAGTGAGCTGTGTAAATAGAGTCCATGGATGGAAGGCCAGCTTCCGCGATGGTCTGGGCTGTGCACACCACACTCTGTAGTTTCTTACGGTCCTGGGCAGAGCAGTTGCCATATCAGGCTGTTATACACCCGGACAGTATGCTTTCAATGGTGCATCTATAGAAGTTGGTGAGGGACCTTATGGACATAAAAATTTTCTGAGCCGCCTGAGGAAGAACAGGCGTTGTTGTACCTTCTTGACTGTCGCATTTACGTGGAAAGTCTAGGACAGATCATCGGTTATTTTCACTCTGAGGAACTTGATTCTCTTCACTCTCTCAACCTCAGTTCCGTTGATGTAGTTGGGGGTGTATTCTCCTCCTTTCTTTCTGAAGTCCATGATCAGTCCTTTAGCTTTGCCGATGTTGAGAGACAGATTGTTTTCATTGCACCGTGTCACCAAGCCCTCTATCTCCCTTCTGTATTTTGACTCGTCGTTGTTAGATATCTGTCCCACTAGAGTGGTGTCATCAGTGAACTTGTAGATGACATTCGTTTGGAATTTGGCAACACAGTTATAGGTGTACAGGGAGTACAGTAGGGGGCTGAGGATGGTGGTGGTGGGGGTGTGGTGGGCTCCAGTGTTGAGTGTTATTGTGGAGGAGGTGCAGTTACTTATCCTCACTGATTGCGGCCTATGGGTCAGAAAGCTGAGGATCCAGTTGCAGACACCAAGGCCACAGAGTTTTGAGATCAGTCTGGAGGGGATAATGGTGTTGAAGACAGAGCTGTAGTCAATGAGCAGGAGTGTGACATAGGTGTCTTTGTTGTCCAGATGTTCCAGGGATGAGTGCAGGGCTAGGGATACAGCATCCTCTGTGGATCTGCTGTGTCGGTAGGCAAACTGTAGGGGAGGTTGTAGACTTGCTTGTCGAGTCAGTGTGTTTGATTGCAGATGTTTCATCACCCTTCTAGGTAACATCGTCAGTGCAACTCCGGTGAAGCGGAGTTCTGTCCTGCTTGTTATTTATATGCCTCGGTCTGCTGGGGTGATTAACATCACTTCTGGTTATGTTTTCCAGCGCTTTGTCTCGCGGGTCCGGTTCAATGTGTTTGTTGATGGAGTTCCAGTTGGAATCCTGGGCCTCCAGGAATTCCCTGGCATGTCTCTGTTTGGCTTGTGCTATTAAGGATATGTTGTCCCAGTCAAACTCGTGTCCTTCTTTGTCTGTGTGTGTTGAGACCAGTGAGAATTGGTCGTGTCTCGTGGTGGCTAGTTGATGTTTGTGTATCCTCATTGCCAGTTTTCTTCCAGTTTGTCTGATGTAATGTTTCTCACAGTCCTTACATGGTATTTCTGTATATTACGTTAGTTTTATTGGTTGTTGGTATGGGATCCTTTACGTTCATCAGTAGCTGTCACAGGGTGGTTGTTGGCTTGTGGGCTACCCTGGTACCTAGGGGCCTGAGCAGTCTTATGGTCATCTCTGAAATGTTTCTGATGTATGGTAGGGTGACTAGTGTTTCTGGCTGTGTTGTGTCCTCTCGTTGTGGTCTGTAGCAGAGGTAACGGAGGATTGTGCTTTTTGGGTATCTATTCCTTTTAAAAACTCCGTATATGTGCTCCTGTTGTGTTTTGCGTAATCCTGGGTCGCTTCAGTGTGTTGTGGCCAGTTTGAATAATGTCCTGATGCAGCTCCATTAATGGTTGTTGGGGTTGGTTGCTGGTCCAAGCCATGTGTGATCTTTCTGTATAAGCTAGTCTGGGGTTCCCTGTCGATCTTAAGTTCCACCATTATGTTTAGGAAGGGTAGTCGGTTATTGTTCTCTTCTTCTTTTGTGAATTTTATTCCAGTGAGGGTATTGTTTATGTGTTGGTGGGTTTCTTGTAGTCCTGAGCATTTGATAATCATGAAAGTGTCAACTACATAGCGGACCCAGAGTTTGGGTCGTATAGTGGGAGCGCTGTTCCTTCTAACCTTTGCATTATGGCTTCTGCAATCATTCCACAGCTTGAATACAGTACTGTACATCTCTATGACTCTGAATCACACCTTTGTGAAGGGGAACCCTCTTGAGGATGGAATACAACTGCAGCTCTGGTCATTCTTCATCTTTGGCAATGATGGTGTGTGGAGGAGGCTTGGGTTTAAAGCAATCTGGAAGGTCAGACCTTGGCCTATCACTGGCCAGCTGCTTCCTTTTGTCAGGCTGTGTTTTGGCCACTGTAAGGTCAATGGACTAACTGGAACTTCCCAGTCAGTGCAGGAGAGGAGCTTTAATTGGTTCACTGGTGACCCACTTACACTTGGTCACAACCTGGCCTCCTGGAAAATGTCCAAGACTTTGGACCATGCTGAGAATGAGCAGGGCAGCTGGCAGAAGGAGGTTTTGTGCCCACCCTCCTTGGTTCCCAACCCCATTTTGTCACAAAACCCCTGACTCATGTTCATGGTAAATTTTGGCTCCCTAAGGTTGTTACTAAAACATGAAACTAACAAAGCAGAATAAAAGTTGATTATCACCAATTAATAGTGGTAATGACAGAGGAGCAGAGCAACTTAATGGTTCACTTACCTGAGTGAGCTACCCTGGCCAATCAAGGGTCAAATCCAACACTCAGTATCTTCGATGTCCTTGCCAGGAAGAAATTCACCACACCACTAAGATCATTGATCTTAGTAGAATAATAGGTCGGCACAACATCG